AATGAAATTATTATTAATTTTTAATGATTTGATAGTAATGATTAGTTATAATTAAATTATTATTAATTTTTAATAATTTGATAGTAATGATTTAGTAATGATTAATAATAATGAAATCATTATTAATTTTTAATGATTTGATAATAATGATTTAGTAATGATTAGTAATAATGAAATTATTATTAATTTTTAATGATTTGATAGTAATATTAGTAATGATTAGTAATAATGAAATTATTATTAATATTTAATAATTTGATATTAATGATTTGATATTAATGATTAGTAATAATGAAATTATTATTAATTTTTAATGATTTGATAGTAATGATTTAGTAATGATTAGTAATAATGAAATCATTATTAATTTTTAATGATTTGATAATAATGATTTAGTAATGATTAGTAATAATGAAAATATTATTAATTTTTAATGATTTGATAGTAATGATTAGTAATGATTAGTAATAATGAAATTATTATTAATATTTAATGATTTGATATTAATGATTTAGTAATGATTAGTAATAATGAAATTATTATTAATTTTTAATGATTTGATAGTAATGATTTAGTAATGATTAGTAATAATAAAATCATTATTAATTTTTAATGATTTGATAAAAATAATTTAGTAATTATTAGTAATAATGAAATTATTATTAATTTTTAATGATTTGATAGCAATGATTAGTAATGATTAGTAATAATGAAATTATTATTAATATTTAATGATTTGATATTAATGATTTAGTAATGATTAGTAATAATGAAATTATTGTTAATTTTTAATGATTTGATAGTAATTATTAGTAATAATTAAATTATTATTACTTTTTAATGATTTAATAGTAATGATTAGTAATAATGAAATTATTATTAATTTTTAATGATTTGATAGTAAAGATTAGTAATAATAATTTATTATTAATATTTAATGATTTGATATTAATGATTTAGTAATGATTTGATAGTAATGATTTACGACTTGAACAATGAACAATGTTTGGTTCAATTAACCATATTTTCGTTACATAACTAGTAATGAAATTATAATAATGATTTGATACTAAAAATCATTATAAATATGTCAAATTTGTTAAGGTTTGAAAAAACTAGTCTAATGTCAATATTAAATTTGTAACAAATAACAAACTAGTTTACAATTGTTGTCGATATCGGGGTGTTGTTGAATGATAATGTTGGGGCGGACGTCTGATGCGTTGTGGCCGTTGCGGTTGCTCAGGAGTATGGTACCCATCCTCCTCATTCGTTGGGGGCATTTGAACTGACATGTGTTCAAAGTCATACGTCGACGAAAACATGGGAGAGTAGATTGATGCATCAGGCTGCATAAACTCTGGTATGTATGCATCGCCGAACGATTGTGGTGCGCTATTATCCACATCGGTCATTTCCGCTTCAGGTTGTTGAGATGAACTCCCACTCCCACTTGGTAGAGAGTATTCAGTTTTACCAAATCTTTTCTTAAACCTCAAAAATTGTCGCCTCTCTACAATTGTTGTCAAGAATGGCTTTCCATTATCCAAAAAATAAGCAAGGTAAGCCGAAGTCTCAAAATTAAAGTCGTCGTCTTGAATGTCGTCAAGAGTTGGCATGAATGAAGCCCTATTATTCTAAGCATTAATGTAGGTTGCATGCTTCTCAACCCAATTAACATTTTCTTTACGACGACCATCAAATCTGTGCAGCTGGTCATGCGTCTCAACCCAATTCACCTGACGACGACCATCTAAGATTTGGAGGAGGTCATGATCTCATGGACTCCGCGGAATAGGTTGGTGGAAGTGGAATTGCCTCAACACTCTATCCCCAAATTAGATCTCAACAAACGCAAAATTGATCAATGGTGTAACATCACACCAATATTGAAACCCATCTAAAATATCGTGCGGTATCAACGTAAGTATTTCTTCATTCATGTATGGTCTCCAATTAAACTGTAAAATTACAAAAACAATAAAATTTATTTAAATCAAATAATATAGTTATTTTAAATAATAATTAAAAATAACATATTATACATACCTCCTTTTTTGCCTTAATGTCGATCTTCAGCCTGAACTCTTTAATGTTGTTGTGCACCAACCCCGTGCCTTCAATTTTATGCCTCCATCTGTATATCAATCAAAACAAAAATATGATCATTTTTATTTTATAATTAATATTTTATATTAAAATATAGAATTCATATTACCTTCCGGTAAGCAGAAAGTCAACCGCAGTCCGACTAATCGGTGTCAGAAACGGAAGTCTATGCCAAGCCCATGACTGTAGTAGCAACAGACATCCACCGATTTCTGTTGTATTATTATCATTCACGACTAATGACGCCTTGCACATCTCACGATACAAGAATGCCAATATCGCCGATCCCCAGCTATATTGCCTACTATTCTCAAAATTTCTTAAAAAAAGAAGATATTGAGTGTGAACATAACTACCGGATTTATCCGGCATTAAAATACCCCCAATCAACTGTAATATATATGCTCATGTTGCATATATAATTTCGTGCTCCGTACTATTTGGTTGAAGCTGAAATTCATTCTTCAACCATGACAACCTCACACACCACCATTTACACTCTGGTGGTACGGGCGTTTTCCCAAGAAACAAGCTACAAAGTTGTGCTACATTATTAAACTCATGTGACATTACCACTGGCATCCCATTTGTTTGGACCCCGAGTTGCAATGCCACATCCTCCAGAGTTATCGTACATTCGCCACACGGCAAATGAAATGTGTGCGTTTCTGGTCTCCAACGCTCAATCAAGGCACTGATCAAACCTGGGACCAACTTGTAATCTCGCACAAATGTTACATACCAAAATCCAGCCTCCTGCAAGTTTTATTCTATCAATCTGTGTGGCTTGGGTACTTTATGTAGCCGATGACGAAGGACTCGCTGCTCGTCCTCCTGCAATTAAATATTTCAAAAAATTTATCACAATCATAAAATAATATTCAAATATTTATTAATTATAATTCATTAAACAAATATTTTATTCACCATTATTCCCAAATAACTTGAAATATGTTCATTGATAAGTCTCAGCAGTGAAATTTGGTCAGCCATTGGAATGAATCTGTAAAAAAAGTAAACAACAGTATTTAAAAATTCATTTAATATAACTAATATAATCTAACTAACTAACTATTTTACAACACAACAAAAAAATTTAATATAATAACTTATAATATATTAAACTAATAAACTAACAAACTAAACTTTTTAAAATATAAGTTAAACGTAAATTTTCCCTTAAACAACTAATAAACTAGTCTTTAATATAACGTTAACTAATAAACTATTCTTTAATATAAATTAAACTAATAAATGATTTTTAATTATAATTTACTACTAAAAAACTAATTAACTAATTTTTTTATATAATATAAATTCAACAAACAAATATAACTTAATTATTTAACTAACACAAACTAATTACATATTTTTTATATATAACTAACGACTAACAAACTAACTAAATATTTTTATTAATATGTAACTATCAAACATGCTAATTAAATAAATTTTTATTTCTATATGATATAACTTAAACTAACAATAATATAACTTAAACTAACAAACTAATTAACTAATTTTTTGTTTTACCCTAATTTATAATAATAAACTAATTAACTAATAATTTATAACAATAAACTAATTTAAATAATTATTCTTTTATATAACTTAAACTAATAAACTATTTTTTATTATAATAAAACTTAAACTACTAATAAACTAGTTTTTTATATAATATAAATTCAACAACCAAAATATAACTTAACTATTTAACTAACTACAAACTAATTAAATATTAGACTAACTAACACACTAATTAATTATTTTTTAATATATAACCATCAAACAAACAAATTATATAATTAACTAAAATTTTGTTTTAACTTAAACCATAAACTAACAAACTAATAATTTAAAATAATAAACTAATTTAAAAAAACTTACCTCGATGTTGTGCTCTCCCTTTCTTTTTCCTCCTCTTTTCTCTGCTATCTTCTCCTTTGCTATTTTCTCCCTTTCTTTCTCTCTTAATTGTTTCACTCGTTAACCCCATCCATCCAATATATAATACAACAACCGGGCATATTTTGCTTCAATTATAGGTGGCCGAGTCATTCACGTTCACGGGCTGCAATAATGCAGCAATAAGTGCTGCAATAATGCAGTTGATTTCACGCTGCATGGGAGCAGAGGCGCAGAGGCAGTAGAGTAGGGCAAAGGCATAGGTCGTTGGGATCCCTTGGCGACCTACAATGTCGCTGGGATGCCCTGGCGACCTACAATGTCGCTGGGATTCCCTGGCGACCTACCCACGTTGCATGCTGCCATGCACAACCATGCAGAGACTCCAACCTCGTCCAGACCCATGCCACGTTGCCATGCCGCCATGCACAGCCATGCAGAGACTCCATGCAATCCATGCTTGGCAAATGCTTCAATTGCGAGGACGAATTTGTAATGAGACATGTGATCATTTGCACACTCAGGGTAGAAGGAAAGGGCCATGTCTAAACCACCAACATTGTTCAAGCTAAGCATGGACTGCATGGCGACCTTTGGCGACCTACGTAGGTCGCTGGGCGTGCATGGCGACATACCCCCGGGACTGTAGAGGGCATCATCTGACCAGTTAATCTGGCGAGGGCACTATCTCCTGAAAAAAAAATTCAACGCATTATCTCGTTGAGTTTGCCGAATTTTACCCCCATTAAATCTATTTATTATTAACTTTTTAAAAATAAAAATAAAAATATTAAATTTTTATTATAATTATTTTAAATTTTTAAAAATTAAATTTTATATTTTAAAATTACTTGATTGAATATTTTAAAAAATATTTTTATATTCTTTTCAATAATAAATTTTAAATAGTAATGAATCAAACTTAAAATAAATTAAAAAAAGAAAGTTTTAATAACAGACATGTTTAAGTGGGCGGGTAGGAGTATTACATAATAAGCACTCCCGCTTTTCCCTTTTCTTTTCGCCCTAAATATTTTCCTGATTTTGATCTCCGATTTACTACGGTGATTCTCAGGTAATTCAATCTATAAACGCTCTAATTTCTTTTTCTTTTTCCTTAATTTCACTTCAAATTCAGTTCTTTCCTCCGGTTCTCTCTTTCTCATGTTAGGGTTTTCATCTTAGTTTCTAAAATTTTCAATAATTTTCATTCATCTTTTTAAATCTTACTTTCCCTAGTTGAAAGTTGAAGAAGGTGACGGAAGAGAAGTCGAATTATTTTTTCGTTTTAATTTTTGTTCGTTTATTTGTAATTTCGCTTCAAAGGTAATTTAGATAGTCATTGTTGTTCCTTCCTTCTTTACTTGAACTTATTTGGCAAAGAGGGGTTTTGGCTTTTGACGTAAAATAAACAAAGTTTATTGCTTTGGTCGTTGAAAAAAGTTGAAAAATGGGGAAAAGAAAGAAATAGTTATTGATTGCCGTTATTTGGCATATATTTCTGGTTTTAAATATGTTTTTTCTTGTTTGTTGTAAAGTTCAGTTATAACTTATATGTTTTAAAAGGTTGATTGATACAATTTGCTAAGGCTCTGTTTGCTTGATGCTTTTGCTCAAAAAATGCCGAAAAGCTAAATCAAATTGTAAAAAACTAATTTAATTGTTCTGTATAAAAGTAATCGTAGCTTATAATTTTCAAGCTTTCAAATTCCAAAGCAAACGGCAAGAATTAAACAGTATGTAAGGGGATAGGAGAATGAGTTACTTGGCTTTTGTGGGTAAGAGTCTTGGGTTCATGTGTGCAGATTTGGAAGTTCAAAGTCAGGAGATTGACATAGAAGAAGAAAATGTTAAGTTCTGGGAATAATTTAAGCCGAGGGAATGCAGGATTGCCCTCTGATATGCCACCATTGCTTCAGTGTTTGCCTCTGGAGCCGATTACATTGGGGAGTCAGAAATATACACGGCCTGGAGAACTAAGCCGTGTTCTAGGTCTTGCTCTTCGAAGTAGTACATCAGGGGATCACTCTTTTGGAGTTCCACACTCCAAACTTTCCCCTCCTGTGGCAACGGAGGAGCTTAAGAACTTTAAGGAAAGTGTTCAAGATGTTTCAAGAAAGGCCAGGTATAGGTTTTTTTCTCTGATATTACTACCACCCAGCGAAATTTTTGAATGGTTTATGTTTTATGGTGCATGGTTTCCTTCATGAGTTAGTGTAGCGACTTCTTATTGTAATTGTGGTGACAATGGAATCTTAGGTAGGTACTATATAACTAGAAACAGATCTGCCAAATAACAGCAACATGGTACATGATTTTTATGATGCATGCAATGCACATATAACATGTTGCACATGCGGCATATTTTCTCTATGTGCAATGTAGATATCCCAGCTTCAAATGTCCTTGCCACTTGAGTATTTGTCTCTGGTGGACGATATGAACATGCCATTAATTATAGTGCTTCTTCTTGCAGTTCATCTTTCTGAGCTTGTACTTGTGCATGTTTTACCGTTGTGTAATTAAATATACATTTTCTTTGTATCAGGGATAGAGTGAAGAAGTTGCAGGAGTCTATTTTTAAATTGGAAAGGTATAGAGAAGCCTTAGCCTCAAAGAAGCAGCAACGAAGTGATATTTTGAATGAGAGAACTAGTGGAGTAACCATTGCAAAGGTGGGAAGCCAGATTAATAGAAACACTCATGAAATAATGAACCGAAGACCAGAGGATAGGCCAAAGGGTGTGGGGCTCAACAAGCGTGTACGCACGTCATTTTCCGATTTACGGGTATTTCTCTATGATTGCTGGAATATAATCATGCTTCAACCTATTTAATCTTGGCATATATTCTTGAAAAAAGAAAAATCAGTTGATCTTTCTTCAGCACTGAATAAAGTTTCCTGTTGTCTATCAGTCATTTTGTTTTGGTTGTAACCATAATTGAATGTACTATTTAATTTTTTAAAAATATGAAAATAAGCCAGAAACATAACACATAGTTTGACTAGACCATTTTTTTCTCTTATTTTTTAGCGTACGATTCATTAATTTATTTCCCTTGTTTTCTCTGCCTTTATTTTTACATGAGAACAGGCTGATAACAGGACTGCTGTGAATCCAAGGCAGCAGGGGGTAGTAGAAAAGGATGGTGATGTGCTTCCAGCTGTTAATGGGGGTTCTGCTCAAATTGAAGAAAAGATCCGCAGATTGCCAGGTGAAGGGTGGGAGGCAAAGATGAAAAGGAAACGGTCTGTTGCAGCTGTAGGAAATAGAATTGCCAATGCTGGTCGCGATATAAGACGAGCTAGTCAACCAAAGCTGATCTCTGAATCAAAGTTGCAGTCATGTGATACACTTGGTTTCAGGTGATTGTATAGGGTTGATCTTTTTTTGTAGTTGCTGATTTAATTGTGGATACATTGGTGATGAGGAAAAAGTGGCTTTTGTGTCCGTCTCTGGATGTGCTTTAATTCTTATGAATCAAATTGGCAGTGTTATAGCAATTGTTGAAGAAACATTCTGTTTTACTATTTAATGCTTATAGATTTTATGGTTGCAATCGTCATTCATAATGTGAAACTTTGTGAATCATGTTTAGTATATGGAAGACTTATAGAGGCTTTTAGATAAAATTGCTACACCATGTAGCATTATGATAGTCAATCATGCAAAATTTATGCTTAATAAATTGTATTATATTTTGGATTGACAGATCCCCATGCTCACAAGTTTTCTTTGGTTGTCACTCAGTAATAATTGACTTAGTGTTTCTATTTTACCTGCTTTTAGTTCTAGTATAGAGCATATGATTGTGATTGCTCGTTTGCTGATATGACATTTTAAAATGTTTGATAAGGCATTAATGAAAATGAAGACATTTTTGCGCATGTATCCTAAGGTCTATTTTTTGGAAATGATTATCAAATTTAGATTTGATGTTTATAAGATACAATTTACTCTGATCATATAATTTTTCAGCCATTACATAAAGCTTTTATGTACGAGTCTTAAAACTGCTCCTGTTCATTGTTTTATGCATGCAGATCGAAATCTTCATCTGGAGTTGGTGGAATTAACAGGCCACATGGTTCATTTGAAGCTGCTGGTTCAGAGGCGAATACAGTACTCAGGAATGAATTGGAGAGTACATCTATTCCACGGGATCGTGCAGCTATGTTGGAGCAGAGGGTTGTAGTAAAAACAAATAATAAGTATGTTCCTTTACCATTTTAGTTCTAGCAATCTGTACTGTGAGCAGGAACCTTGCATAATTAATGTTCATCAAAATTTGCATTTTATTTTTTCGATGTATGATTTTCTTTTAATGTTTTCTTCTTATTTATTATTGATATTTTTAATGGAAATGTTTGTTAGGGCAAGTCTTCAGGAGGACAATCAAGCATGTGGCTCGAGTACAATGCTAAAAGGGAAGGTTTCCAGGGCACCAAGAACTGGGTCCATCATGGTGTTAGACTCATCTTCTAAAGTACACCTATCATCAGGAGCTTTGCAGGGTTGGGAACAGCCTAATCTAAATAAGATCCAAGCTTCAGGTGTTGTGAACAATAAAAAACGTCCAATGTCTACAGATTCACCATCACATGCTATATCCCAGTGGGGTGGTCAGAGACCACATAAGATCTCACGAACAAGGAGAGCGAATTTAGTGTCCCCTGTGGCTAATGCTGAAGCTCAGATTTCATCTCAAGGCTTTGCAACACCTGATTTTGGTGCTAGGGCATCTATTGGAACTGGTGGATCTCTTCTTCGCAGCAATGTAGATAATGCTCCTCCAAATATAAAGCGGGAACTTGAGAACGTCTCTTCTCCATTTGGGTTATCTGAGAGTGAAGAATCAGGGGCCGGAAATAACAAATCAAAAGAAAAAGGAATTGATACTTGTGAGGTTACTATTCCTGCATCTCAGAAAGCTGAGGCTTTCTTTTTGCCCACAAGGAAGAATAAAATTACAAATGAAATTGGAGATGGAGTTCGAAAGCAAGGAAGGAATGGAAGCAGTGCATCACCCTTGACAAAACCAAGTGTACATCCTATAAGGGAGAAGTCAGACAATCTTAAAACGACCAAGATAATTCAAAGTGTGAGATCTGCTTCCGACAAAAATAGAAGGTTCTTATCTGGCTCTTAGTATTAAGTTGTTCATATGTCTTGTGGAAATCTGATGAATGAATCATGAATTCTCTGGTTCAGTAAAACAGGTCGCCCACCTTCCAAAAAGCTGAAAGATCGCAAGGCCTCAACTCGTGTTGGTTCGATGCTAAATAATGTTTCTTCAGATTTCACAGGTATTTGACTGCTTATTAGGCCGATGATACTAGCTGCATATATGTCAAACATAGAAGAGTATTGAATCTTTTGATGTTGATGGAAATCTAAATCTAATCGTTCTGCATGGTTGTTACCTATGTTAAAGCTGTGCATCAATGGTGACTTCGATACCTCCTCTTCTACTTGACATTATCGTTTTGACAAATATTTTGGTCTCAGTTTTACTGTGTGTGTTTAGCTATCAACAAGTTATATGTGTGTTCTTGCATGGAATTAATTTTTTTTTTGAGATATGTTGTTGTTTAATTTTCATTTTTTGGAAATAACTGTACTAAGACACTTATCTACATGCATATGTATTTGCACCTTTTGTGAACTGCCAAACTAGCTGAAACGTGGTTGAAAATCCCTGAAACTTTATGGTCTGTTCATTTGATGATGATGTATTTGGGATGCCCTTTTCAGGTGAATCTGATGATGATGACCATGATGAACTATTTGCAGCTGCCACTTCTGCGCGTAAAGCTAGTGGTATGCATCTTTTCCAATGATTCAACTCCCCTTCCCCCAAAATAAACAAAAAAAAATGAATGAAATCAAATGCCTTATGTAAATCTAGTTTTTATTAGGGTATATATTGTTATATATTTCTTGTTTCTGTAGGTCTTTCTTGTTCTGGTCCTTTCTGGAAGAAAATGGGATCTATTTTTAATTCACTGAGCTCAGAGGACACATCTTACGTCAGGCAACAGGTACTATATGGCCAAACATTTTTATTATTCATTGAAACTTTGTGGTTAGTTCATCACAGTTTCCTAAACTGCTGTTTTGATGTTGCATCAGCTAAGTTTGGCAGAAGAACTTGATGAGAGTTTGTCTCAAATTTTTGGAGATGGATTTAATGTTTTGGTAAACTCCATCATCTTATGTTTCTCTTCCTAAAACCAGACCAATTTAATCAGCTATAAATATGAGCATGTTAATCTTAAAAGATGTAAAAAGAGAAGGAAGTGTAACTAGAAACTAAGTCAAACTTTGTTGGCTAAGGTTGATTGGAACTCATCCATTACTCAGGGTGTTGCTGTGCAGAAAGATGCGCCTGATTCCGTTGAAGAAGTGGCCAAAATTAATGCTGCAAGTGAAAGATTTGATATAAAAAAGTTTGACAAGACTACTCCTTTATATCAAAGAGTTCTTTCTGCTTTGATTGAAGAAGATGAAAGTGAAGAAATTTACCACCGCAATGAAGCAAAGAACATGTCGCTTCACTATGCAAGTGATGATTCCCATTGTGGTTCATGCAACCTGATGGATGTTGAATTTAGAGATAGAGACAGAATTGAATCTGAAGTAGAGTCAAACCCAGATTTTCAGTGTCAGAAGAACTCTCTGTTAGACAGGATGTCTGGCGATGTGAGTGTTGCATCAAACACATTTAGGAACTGCAGCATGTCTAATTCATTACATAGCAGTGAACGGTGGCTGGGAGATGGTGATTTATCACATATGGATACGGGTCCCATAAGTGAAATATGTTCAACTGACATGGGTCAGCTCCAACATAAGGAAATAAATGTTTCTGACAGCTCTTTTGACTGCCAGTATCAGTTGATGTGTATGGATGACAAGCTTTTGCTAGAATTGAATAGTATTGGTATTTATCCCGAGTCCTTGGTGAGTTTTTCTGTCATGCTAAGATTGATTGGTTAATCTAAATAACTTTCCTTCTTTCGGTTCCAGGAATACACACACCCCTGTATGTTGGATGTCAATTTTTTGTGCTGTTATCTTGTATGATTTAACTTTTATTAATTTGCTTTTGCCTTTTTGCAGCCTGATTTGGCGGAGGGGGAGGAAGCAATAAATAAAAATGTTGTTGAACTTAATGAATGTCTCTATCAACAGGTTGCTGTTCATAACTCTTACCTGTTGTCACAAGTAACTTCAGTTTGGATTATTTAAAGCACATTTGACATTAGCCTGTTGCTATTTACTAACCCAAAATCTATTTCTTTTTGTGCTTAATTGAAACTCCTTTTGATGTTAAATAACATATTAAAATTTTATTTACCATCCTTTTGTTTTTACAATTTTTTTATTTCTTTTGCATATTCAAATATTAAGAAGAAGAAGAAGAAGAATCCAACATATTTAAACTCCTTTTGCTATTTACACTTTTTTCTTTTTTGTATTGATTCTCAGATTCGGCAGAAGAAGAAGAAGTTGGGGAAGATTGATAAAGCTATTGAGAATGGGAGAGATGTAGAAAAAAGGTGGGATAACCAGATGATCTTGTTATTGATAATTTAATGAATTGTGCTTCAACTAATGTGATTTGCTTTGCAGGGACATTGAGCATGTTGCAATGGACCAATTAATTGAGACGGCTTACAGGAGTCGTTTGGTACTTCTCAGATCCATTGTGCATTTGTTGTTTCTAATTATTATCTTTGGAGCTTTTGATGCTTAGTTCTTTTCCATTTATCCTTTCATGTGATTGCCTTTTTAAATCCAAATTTCTACTTTTTACAAGTTTCTCTATGATAAGTGAAGGTGTGAGAGTCATCGCATGCAAGAACTGCCAACAAGTTGATGTCATTTTGGCCATTCTTTTAAACGAGTGTCTAGGAAATTAGTATTTTATATGGACAGCAAACTGTCAAACATTTATTTGGTTGCTAACTATTTAGGTTGATAATCTAGCTCTATGGTGACAATGCTCTGCAGTTTTTAAAGGAAATGTTCAATTTTTTGTAATGTCAGACACAGTACATAAGTAATGTGAAGAGACTTTATATTGACAAGTACAATTCCAGTGTTCTAGAGACAAGTCAGAAGTGGCTAAATTGAGCTTGGAACTGGGAGAAATGTTTTACCTGGTCTTTATTTATTGTTTATATACTCTTAGTCCTTTAAATATTTTATACAATTACAATGGTAGCAGTTGCTCATGTTGGTTTTTAGAAAATCAAGCGAACTGACAACTAAATTAGCTGAACTGTTTAACCCTTGACCCACTATTGTGGACCAGTTCCCTTTTTGTAGATTTTCTACTGTCTTCATGATAATGGAAATATTATGGCCCTAGATTGTAAAAATCCAAGGCACTTTCTCAAGTGCATTTGCTACTAAGCATGTTTTCTTTATAAAGTTGCATGGCATGGAACTTTTCTCGCTATGTAGTCAATTCAGTATTAGTCTGGTATTTGGCTATTTATTGGTGTGTTTTATAGATGCAGGCCTGACATACTTAATTGTTGATTTAGATGAGAATGGTTGTAACATCTCGCCTTATGGTGCCGAATGGTTTATCGTTTTATATCTAAAGTGGTTTGGAGCGAGGTGTTTATTATAATTGATTTAATTTTACAAACAATTAATGCAGGCATGTCGTAGGAGTAATTTGTCAAAAAGTGCAGTTCGTAAGGTGTCAAAACAAGTTGCATTAGCTTTTGTGAAGCGAACTGTTGAGAGATGTCGGAAATTTGAACAGACAGGCAATAGTTGCTTTAGCGAACCTGCTTTGCAAGATATCATGTTTTCTGTACCTCCACGCAGCAATGAAGCAAAATCTGTAGATTGCATTGGCTCCGGAACTGCTAGTAATATTTGTAATGAAACTTCCAACCACCAAGCAGAAGCCAGGGGCTCGGGTATCGAAAATTCTACCTTTTCTAATGGCATTATATGCCAATAATTTAGATTTTATTAGGATTTGAGAGCATTATTCTCTCAATCATAAAAGAAAAAATTGTTACAAAGTCTTGTTTACCGAGTCAAATGCTTGGATACGTGCCTCATTTAACTTTTAAGCAGCTTATTCGTGTTTATTTCACTTTTGCCACAGTTGCTGTTTCGAGTACTTATGAGAGGAATGATTCCTCGGAGGCTCTTCCAGCCATTCAATCATCTGAGCACGTTGTTTCCAAGTATGGATCTGTGTTGAACAAAGGGAGGAAGAGGGAAGTACTTATCGATGATGTTGTTGGTAGTGCTTCGTCTAGGGTAACATCGACTCTTGATGGCAGTGTCGGAAGAGTAAACGGAAGGGAGCAAAGCAGAGAGAATTTACAAAATACTAGTTCAAAGGAGGAACGGAAAACAAAGGCAAACGCCAATCAAAAGAACAGTCATCGATCGAGTTGTGGAAATGGATTCAACGGAAGGCTTACAGAAACTTTGAAGCCTACGGATAAGATTCATCAGAATTCAAGTAAAGAAACAGAGGAGGGAATGGATTTTGGAAACTTGCAACTAAACGAGTTGGATACGATGGAAGAATTGGGTGTTCCAAATGAGCTTGGTGGTCCTCGAGATCTGAGTTCGTGGCTAAACTTCGATGAGGATGGCTTGCAAGACCATGATTCAATAGGTTTAGAAATACCGATGGATGATCTCTCTGATTTGAAGTTTGCATTCTAATATTGTATTTATCTAATAAGTTAGGTTTCTAATTTAGCAGCCTATCCGAACAGAGCAAGTGTAACTATGATTCATTTTTCTGTGTATAAAATCAATTATTCAACCCAATTTGGTCGGTCTATGCATATTCAAAAAAAAAAAAAAATTGGATTTGAATATTACGTTAGATTTGAGTTTTAGATTATGAACGGCTATGGATATATTTTTGGATATTTATTTTTCAAATATTTATTATACAGATGAGGATTTAAATATTAAAATTTGAATTATAAAATGAAAAATGTGTTTGTTAGTTGTTACTATTGTTAAAACATCATCTTAGTGTATGTACACTAAGGTGGCGTTTGGTTCGCAGGAATCCCTTGGAATTAAAGAGAATTAAAATCTAATTTCACAACTTTCTCATGTTTGGTTCAAGTTTTCAAAGGGAATTAGAATCCCTCATGACTCCAACTAACAAACATATAAAAATATATTGAATAAAAATATTTTTTTATTATTTCGGGTTGGGTTTTAATTCATATATTTAGGTCGGGTCGGATCGGATCGGGTGAAACTTTATTTTGGTCGGGTCGGTTTTTTTAAGTGTGATATTCGGGTCGGGTCGAGTTCGGGTTTAGGGTGAAAAATAACCGACCCGACCCGACCCGAAAATATATATAATTTTACCTTATATATTTAGGAATAATTACAATTCAATTAAGTCACTATTTTTATTGAATAAAAATATTTTTTTTATTATTTCGGGTCGGGTTTCTAATTCATATATTCGGGTTGGGTGAAACTTTATTTTGGTCGGGTCGGGTCGATTTTTTTTAAGTGTGATATTCGGGTCGGGTCGGTTTAGGGTGAAAAATACCCGACCCAACCCAAAAAAAAATAATTTTACCTTATATATTTAGGAATAATTACAATAATACCCCTCTATATATACTTTTTTTTCAATTAAGTCGTTGTTTTTATTGAATAAAAATAATTTTTTATTATTTCAGGTCGGGTCGGGTCGGGTGAAACTTTATTTTGGTCGGGTTGGATCTCAGATGGAGGTTCCCTTGTTCTCAAGTCGGGTTGGGTGGACCAAAAACCCGACCCAAACCAACCCATGGTCATCTCTAATTGGGATGATTTTAACTTATGATGTTTATTAGCATGATTTTTATAATTTATTGAAATGAATAATCAATCAATAAAATTAAATTTTAATATATTTTTAAAATTTTTATAATATATTGCTAGATGTAATTTATAAAACAAACTAAAATTAAGCAAAAAAATAAGAAGGGCAATCCTATCATTTTACATTACTGAAATCAAATTTATCTGACATGTCTGCGAACCAAACAGAATATGGAATTGGATTCTAATTCAATTTCCTGTAAACCAAACAGAATATGGAATTGGATTCCAATTCCTGACAGATTTCAATTTCTTCACAGATTTCAATTCCCTCATAAACATTCTAACGAACCAAACGCCACCTAAATTGGTTGAAAAGAATATAAAACATCATCTTAACAAGCCATTAAAGTAAAAAAAAAAAAAAAAAGATAAGTGTGATTGACAATGGCAAACATTTCACACACTTGTATGCCACATGCATGTTGTTCTGATTTCCTTATTTTATTTGTCCAAAAAAATATGGGTAAATTACACAAAATTATTAAACTATGAAAAAAAAAATCTATTTTAGTCGTTGAATATTTTAAAAGTTAAGTCATCAATATTTAGTTCTATTTTAATTTTGATCATTCTCTTATAATTTTATCACTAACCTGTGTTGTTACTTGATTGATCAAAATGATACAGAGAAATAAAATATTAAACATGGACATATGAAACCATCTATCTCTTAGGCCATCTCCAGTCCTCATCTCTACTCTACAACATCTCTATCTCTACTCTAAAGATGAAACAATAATTCATCTTCAGCACTATCTCTACATTACCATCAACTCTACTTTATTCACAATATTGATTTTTCAAATATAAAATAAAACATATAAATTTCTAATAAATATCAAGATAAAAAGCATAAATAAAATATTCAACGCATGTAACAATTAGTATGTTTATTTATCTAATTTCAATATATTTTTATCTATCTTGCAAATTAATCTACTTAAATTTTAAAAATTCATAAAAAATACAAAAAATCAGAAAAATTATAAAAAAATTTAGTATGTTTATTTATCTAATTTCAATATATTTTTATCTATCTTGTAATTTAATCTACTTGAATTAAAAAAAAAACAAATTGTAGCGCATGGTACAATACCACGCTAGATGTAGCGCGGTATGTAGCAATTCTCCAAAGTGGAGATGTTTTTGGCGATGGGCTGGAGGCTGTTTTTTCTCAAAAGTGGAGATATTCTTCAATTGTAGCGCAGCATTGGAGATGCCCTTAGGCACTACATCAAATTGTGCATTTGATTCAAGATTGACAATACATATACTATATGTGTAACTAAAGTTTGATTAAAATCAAAAAGTTTTATATTACGTTGAAGTTCACATATTTAAAACACTGTTAAATTATTACAGGAAGAAATAATAAATAAAAATATAATTAAATCATTTTTCATGTAGTTAAAAACTTAAATTACTAAAATATTTTTATTATATTTTATAATTTTATATTTAAAAAATTAAGTTTACATTAGTCGAGTGGATGTTAGAATTATCATAAACAACATAAAAATTCAAGAGGAAATGAAAATAAAATGAGGTCGACACATGTCAGTATTAAAATTATAATGACATGTATCACTAATAAAATATATGTGATTAATAAAAAGACGAAATTAAATATTGGTGGCTTGTTTATTTTATAACATCAAGATAGATTTAATATATGTTAATATATTTTTTATTGTAAAGTTTACTTTGACATATATATATATATATATATTTCATTTACAAGGATAAACTTGATAATAAAAAGAAAAGAAAACCCTAACTTAAGTAGCTTCATCAAATCCAATGTATAATATTGTATTGCATGGAAGCTTCATCGTGGAAAATACATGATTTTGTGAAATTTTCTTTTATCAAAAGTTTGAGAAATGATTCTGTGAGGGTTGGACCATTTGCATGTCTGTTGTTGTTTGACACGAGTGATCATCACTCATCATGCTCCTACATCAATCAAAATTGCATCATTAATAATATACAAAAGAGTAAGTAGAAAAAATCATGGATATTTTTCCATTAGGGTTTCTTTATATAAATATAGTACAAGTTAATGAGATCTTACTCTCGAGGACGGGACGCCCAAAGGGAACTAAGTGCTCGTAAACGTCCATAATACTCTCCGATCATCATAAAACACCGTGCTGCCTGTCGAACCGTCAGTATCCGGGACAACTGGTGAAGGGTTTGATGTCTTAAATTGTCACCCTACATCACAATTACAACTTTGATATCTAAGTAGAAAAAGAAGAAAATAAAGAATTTTTTATATTTTATATATATTTATGACTGTTAGATGAGTGAAAATAAATGGTTAAGATTAACCCCTTATTTTTTTCAGTGAATATCTTCTCATCCTCTAATGTAAATCTTAGTAGTCTATTTTCTATCCTCCAATAATTTTAAATATGTGTAAAACTAAAAAATTTTACATTATATAATTGGATCAAATCCCTATATATATATATATATATGCATATTTTAAAAGATTTAAAGTTTATTTTAGAATTTATTGAATAATCTTGGTGATAAAAAAATATTTATACAAGGGGTGTGCAATGGACTCCTTTTTGATTTATTATAAAATAATCATTCATGACTTTCCATTAAGCAAGGGTTTTTATTTCAAAAGATACCATTATAAAACCACCTTTTTGATAGGAACTTTTATAGATAAAGATACCCAATCAATGCCCGTAGTTTTCAACATTGCAATGGACTCCTTCCAGATAAAGCAATATATAATTTCCCACATTAAATTTATTTTTATTTGATCAACAAATTCAACCTATATCATTTTCTAATTATCAAAATACCATTCTTTTATTTTATAATTATTTTTATGTATTTTACTTACAGTTTTTATTAAAACTTTATAATTCCGATGATACCTGGCGAACGAAGCCCTCAAGGTTGGCAAGCTTGCCTAAGGCAACAGCCATTTGTTGCATTCCGTCGATGTTCGGACCGCCAGCAACGGTGTCGATCAGCGATTGCTGGAGCTGTTCGAGGCCTTGGGTGAGTGCCTCTTCTGCCTGTTGTGAAGAATGCTGGAGGCTGTAAATCCCCATCACTTGCTGTTCAGTTAATGGATCTAATTGTGATATTAGCATCTGAAAAATAAAATCAGAATCGGTTTAAGCATAAACTGATAGCAAAAAATAGTAAATACTTTCAGTTATTTTCTTATATTTTCATCCTCGAATTTTTCAATTTCACGTGTATTTTAGATATTTTTTATTCTTATTATTAATAATATATTTTCGTTATCTACAATTTTATAAATTCATCCTCTATTATAGAATCATATGTCGGTTCCAACTTACATGAATTATTAACGTATTAAAACTATTGTGCCAAAAAATAAAATTAAATCACCGTACATGTTTAGCATACTTGTTTTGTTTATAGACAAATGAAGGTATTCGGGGACTTCAAACCTTGATGAGTTCGGAGGGCCTGAAGCCTCCCATCCAAAGGAAGCAGCGTTCCGCTGGAGTCGTCCACATGCCGGTTATAAGGTGGAAAACATCTGCCTTTGCAGCGGCAGCCTTCAACCGGAAAAACTCGTCGTAATGTGAGATGTAACTGTCAACGATTATTCGAAGGTCGCTGTCGGAAAGGTGTGCATTTAATCCAGTTCTAAGCTCCGACATGTTTCTCTGATCATCTTCTAACCATCTCGAGTATTCCATGTCGAATATTGCAGCCCCTAAAATGAAACAAGCAGAAAAAATGGTAATGAAACAACACAAACACTAAAATAATCAAGTAATAAAGAAGAAACTGAGTAAAAGTTTAGGACATATATCCTTCAAAATTGAGTAAAAGTTTTATGCAAAAGAATGGAGTAAAAGTTGCAGTGAATTAATGAAAGAAACGTTGTAGGTGAAAGTTGAAGTAGCAATTATTAAGAAGAAAAATCAAGACAGCCATTTGATTAAGCAACTTAATAAAGAGTAAATATTAACAGAAAAGGATTCTGTAGCTAAGTATTGAATTGACTTGAAATTAATATAACATGCAAAGTTTTAAATTGAAATTAATACTGAATACGTCAAAAATTTCTATTTTACGGAAGAAAAGAAATATAAACAAGCTACACATTTTTTCCACCGTTCTTCCAATACTACCCATTATTGAAAAATACATTCGCCATCTTAATGATTCATAATTATTGGAAAATGCACATAATAAAAGCCCATTTTTGTAAAATAAAAATGCAAGCTTTTTCTTTTTTGTCATAGACTTACCAGAGCTGATATTTCCACCAGCACCAGCACAACCTCCCAAGAAAAAACCCTATTACATTCAAAAGTAAAATAGTTTCTTATGCTGGTAAAATTATTTGTCTGTAAAGGGGAAGAAGAAGAAGAAGAAGAAGAAGAAGAAGAAGAAATAAATGAAAACCTGAGATCGTGCTCTCTGAAGATCGTGTTCAAGTTGAGTTAGCTTTATTCTACTTGATTCTAGTTGTTGAACATAAGCCTGTTTTAAGACAAGTGAAGCAGTTTCTAAGACAAGTACTCCAGCAAACTCCATGCAGATGTTCTTTTCTGCATGTCTGATACAAAAGTATTATATCGAAAAGATATGAAAAATCTTAATGTTATACAACCTTTTTTCTAAGACGACTTTTCCTTGCAGCTTCTCTGTTTTGAGCTAAACGTCTCTGTGTCTGAAAAAAAGAACAATTTTTAAACAGACTTAAATAAAAATAATACCAAGAAATAAAGATGTTTTTTTACTTGTACCTTAGCATCAAGCTGTTTCTCAGAAGTTGAACCCCTTCTCTGCAACATCATAGAAAAGTGTATGTATGTGTGAACAGGTGTATAATTAGAGGGAATAATACCCATTTAATATTTGATTATAAAAAATTATGAAAAACTATATAAATGGAATAAAAATGCAGTGGTTGGTGATTTAAAAAGATTCTTATCAAACACAGACAAGAAGTTGGTCAGGAAAATGAGAGCCTTTGGCTGTTTGGTAGGCTAACAAAAGATTAGAAATGATTTTATATATTATATTAAAAAAACTTTTGGTTATTTTACTAAAAGTTGAAGTATCTAGCTTAAGCAAGTAACAGTATAAAGAACATGAAGCAGTAAAGTGGGGTCATGGTTTTACAGTGAAAGAAAAAACAAACGTAGTACACATTCTCGCTTTGCTTTCCAATATGTAATTTGTGTTTTTCTCTCTCTTTTCATGTCAGACATCATCAGGAAATCGTTCAGGGATCAGAGAAAAACTCTGAACCCTTTGATTTTGTGAGGGTTTGTTGGGATCTGTGTACCCCTTTGAATAAAATAGACCAAGAGAGAGAGAAGGATCAACACAGTAATAATAACAAAAAAAGGTACCAATTTTTCCCTCGGTTGTTGGGATATAGTAAGGAAGGAGAGATTTTAGGACCTTTTCTTGGGGTAGTTTAGCAATTGATTGATTCTGTGATGTTCCAGTTCTTGAGATATCACTTGCCATCTCTTGTTGATGATCCAAAGGAGTTGTCTTTCTTGTACTGATAGGCGATTCCGGTTCAAGCTGATTCTCGGTTTTGCTGGAGATTGTATTCACTGCAGAACCTGAATCAGTGCTTTCCCCTACTGATTTTGAACTTCCCTGTATGGAATCAAAGTTTAAACAAGCTTACAAAACATATATAAATATTAAGTATTTTGTCAACTCTTTCAATATAAGAAACCTATAAAAAAAAAACTGGTCCACTGTGAATCCATGTAAAAACTCTAGTACTATCTGAAAGAAATGGTCAAACAATGGTTAAAAGGAAAACTACTCTTGGGGTTTGCTGGAATCTCATTGGCCAAGAAGGAAACATCTCCAGGGTAGCCGCTGGTCTGCCTGTTGTGAATAAAGCTGCCACAGAATCACAAAAACATACACTATCTCAGAAGATCACCCAATATTTTTTCAACGATTGTGTATTTATCAGAAAATTTTCAAAGCCAAAGAGAGGTTGAAGCGCTGAAGCAAAGCTACCTAATAAATCAGCCTGCTTTGCTATTTTATCATTTTTACAGTTCATTGTTTCTATGTTTGTATCTTCACGAAATTCAAGTGTATTGCCTATGTATCATTACAGTGTTGGAAATGGTAATCCCACCCCATCCCTTTTACCTTTTTTTCTCTCTCTCTCCTTTTGGCTATTGGATGGATGGTAGGTTAAATTTTTTAGTTGGTTTTGCTGACATATGTAGAATATCAACGACGAAAAACAACTGAAATGATATAGGAGAGGGAAAGAGCATACGTGCTTTAGCTTCATCATTTCGAGTTTTCACTCCTTGCAGCACAATTGCTTCTTCTAGCTCTCCAAAACCAAACGCAGATCCTTCTTGATGGCTAGGCAAAAATTTCTAACTTGAGAGTAAGAATAAATATAACAGAAAAATCATAAGGAACGATTTTGAGGAAAGAAAAACATACATGAAACATGTGGGAACATTCATTCCATGAAGAACTGCATAAGGAATATCATGATGGTGATTCGAAGGTCCCGAGTCAGTCAAACCGGTCTCCCCAACTCTATTGTTCGCCATGCAAGACTTGTTCACCAGATCATTCTCCAGACCAGAAACAGCTAAAAGCCTAAAACAAAAACATGTTGCGGCACAATGAAAACCAGTGGCTTTAAAAAGCGAAGAAAAAAACACCCAAAGTTGCTATTTGTTTAGTTTACGTTAGCTAGTTGCTGAAGAAGGAGAGGAACAAGGAAGCAGAAAATAAGATGAAAAGCTTGCAGCTTTTGATCCTTTGATCGGGTGTCTGTTTCTTTATGGCTTTAATTTCTATCTAGTATTTTTTTCTTCTTTTCGAAGGAGACTTTTGCTTTTATTACAGCGCCTTGTTGTCTTGTAAGAGTGTAGGAAATTGAATCAGATTTTGGACCTCTTCCTTTTCTTTTATCATGGTACTACACAAAATCTTGTCCTTGCTGACCCTCTCCCCTGAGTTTCTGCCTTCTTGAGTTTAAAAAACAATTTTCAAACAAAAAATATTTCAGAGACGAACCCACTAGAATCACTGACTCCTACTCAACTCTCTCTCTCTCTCTCTCTTTAACCGTCTGTTCTTTCTCATTGGTTCCTTTTTTATGGACCTCCTCAGCTATGTAAAGTACTATACTAATAATAAAAATATTATTAATATAATATATGTTTTATTGTTAGAAGGGGACATTTTTATAAAAAAAATAATGTAATAAATGGATATCACTTAATTCAACATTGAAAATTAGATAACACAAGGTTTTCTTTCTTAATAAAAAGGAAAGAGACTGATTAAAAAGTAAAAGAAAAATGAGTACGAAAAAGTTTATAAAAGAAAAGTAGTAGTTTTTTTATCTTTATAATATATGCATCTTATTGTTAGGAATAAATTAGTTCAATCGATTAATTGACAGTTTATTCTTTTAATTTAGGTAAAAATTGCGATTAATAGGATGTCAGTTGTAGATTTATGTATTTAGTGTAAAAGAAAAAAAATAAAAATTGTCATGAAGGAAAAAAGTCTCTCATTTGGTCTTGTTCAGAGTATAAATATATCGATTATAGGGTGGCTGGTGTCAAATTTAAGATCATCATAACTATCAATTATCCGTCAATTTGAGTAGATAAAATCATCTTTTATTAGATTTGATTATCAAAATCACATCAAGTGTTGATGTGGGAAACTCCAAGTGATTATCTAACTAAGGTAATTCAAGAGGTAACCTAACATTCGCTGAATATTTTTGAAGGTTTTATTTTATTAACATTCTAAGTGATTGATGCAGGGGGATCCGAGACAGATGATGCCGAGCTGTCAGATTGCACGTTGATGGCGCTGAGATACCATGAGTTGGCAGATCAGCGCAAAGGCGGGAATTGATTGTGACATGTTCCTCATTGGGGTCGTTTTGAGTATGTTTCAGTCTTTTGGCCATAACTTTGGCTACAGGTGTCAGAATCGCGCATAAGACCCCAATCCGAAAAACTCTTTTCGACGCGCACGCTCTCCACATCGAGCTACGCTCCATGTGGCCTTTTTTTCAACCTCAAATTCTGCCGTTTTCCCCTCCGAATCACTAGATTTAGTTATTTTTTACTATTTATGGTAATATTTCGATTGTTAATTAGGAAGTCAATTTAAATCCGATTTAGGCCGGATTTTTGGGAGATTGCTTATTTTATTTCGAATTTCAATTTAGAGTGATTTTCGGGATTTTGTTATTTTTGGCAAAATTCGAATAAAGACGATTTGTTTGCTATAACAGTCCGGCTTGTGGACTGCTTTTTGACAGTTTTTGATTTTATAATATTTTATTAAACCCTAGAGACTTTTTTCTCTGGTTTTTGGGGCGAATTTTCTCTTGTGAATCGTCTGTCGGAGCTAGCCTACAGGATAATCACTATTCTGTCTGGCGTCAGTTGGTGTCAGAGCTTCAACATCTTCTTGGGAAATTTCACCAGTTTCAATGGCTGGAGGTCGTGGTCGTGGTCGTCGTGAGCAGGTTCCGAATGAGGAAGCCCAACCCCGTGATCGCAGCGTTCAGGATATGATGATTGCGGATTTGCAGAGGCAAGTCGCAGAATTAACCCAGCGCCTAGCGGCGCAGGATTTAGAGGATCGTGAGGCCTCTGATCACGATACCAATTCCACTTTCGAAAACCCATATCACAATCGCGCAGGATTCCGGGGCGCAGGATTCCGGGAGCACCGTGGTCGGGAGGAGCGTCATGGATACCTCGGTTTTCGGGTCGATCTCCCTGAGTTTTCTGGTACATTACAGGTCGAGGGATTCGTGGATTGGATTAATGAAGTGGAGCGTATTTTTGAATATAAGGAAGTCCCCGATCGTGTGAAAGTGAAACTGATCGCCATCAAACTCAAGGGCAGAGCATCTGCGTGGTGGGAACAGTTACGACGTTCACGAGAAAGACAGGGCAAAGCCAAGATCACTGATTGGGAGAAGATGAAAAAGAAGATGAAGGGCCACTTCCTTCCCTTCGGCTACACGCAAACCTTATTTCAGCGACTTCATGCGTTGAGGCAGGGCGCGCGATCAGTCGATGATTACACGGAGGAGTTTTACCAATTGGTCGCCCGGAACGATTTATCTGAGACGGAGGAGCAGATGGTGGCGCGATATTTGGGGGGTTTACGCCAGCCCTTGCAAGATGTCCTCAGCCTTCATTCATTGTGGAGTGTTTCGAAAGCATACCAGCGTGCACTTGCTGTTGAAAAACAGCAAAACAGGAGACCAGTGATCAGGAGCGATCACAACAGTCGACCAGTTCGCCCTCAAGAGTCTCGTCCTGCTCAGCAGCCACCGCAGGGTAATTCTAACCCTACTATTAGATGTTTTCGTTGTGGTGAACAAGGGCATAGGGCGACTGATTGCAGGAAGCCTGCTAGTCAAAAGGGCAAAAATTTGTTGATTGAGGAAAACGTGGAAGACGAGACTGAGGAGATTGGCGAACCCGTGTATGACGATGATGAGACTGATGATGTGCTGTATGGAGATGGTCATGAGACTCTGGTCGTTCTCAAGAGTCTACTTACCCCCAAGGGCGATTCAGGGGACGATTGGTTGAGAACCAATATTTTCCACACGACTTGCACAGTTGCAGATAAAGTCTGCAAAATGATCATTGACAGCGGCAGTTTTGAGAATGTAGTGTCCGATGAGGTTGTCCAGAAATTGCAGTTGAAGACGGACCGTCATCCTAAGCCATACAAGTTGTCATGGCTAAATAAAGACAGTGAGGTAACAGTTGATAGGCGATGCCTCGTGTCTTTTTCAATTGGTAGAAAATATTTTGATAATGCCTGGTGTGATGTTGTGTCTATGGATGCGTGTCATATATTGTTGGGTCGACCTTGGCAGTATGATCGCAGTGTCATTCATGATGGACGGAAGAATACATATTCCCTTAGCATCAAGGGAAAAAAAGATTGTGTTGGCACCCCGGCGGGAAGGACTTACTCCTACCCCAGTAACCCATAATACTAATATGCTTTCTATGTCCATGTTTTTAGATGAGATTGAGCATGGCGACGTGGTCTATGCCTTGCTACCTTGCGAGAACAATGCAGTAGACGTGGATACATATTTACCAGTAGAGGTGCAGCGGTTGCTAGAAGAATTCTCTAACTTGATGCCAGAGGATCTTCCTCCTGGACTACCACCTATGAGGGATATTCAGCATCAAATTGACCTTGTTCCTGGGTCAAGTTTGCCAAATCGACCAGCATATCGCCTCAGTCCCAAGGAGGCCGAAGAGTTGCAGCGACAGGTGGAAGAGTTGTTGGAGAGGGGCTATATCCGAGAGAGTATGAGCCCATGTGCAGTCCCTGCTCTGTTAGTGCCAAAGAAAGATGGTTCTTGGCGTATGTGTGTTGACAGCCGAGCGATCAACAGAATTACAGTGAAGTACCGGTTTTCAATTCCCCGTCTAGATGATATGTTGGATCAGCTATCTGGTTCTAAGATCTTCTCAAAAATTGACCTTAAGAGCGGTTACCACCAAATCAGAATAAGGCCTGGAGATGAGTGGAAGACGGCGTTTAAAACGCCACAAGGGTTGTATGAGTGGATGGTCATGCCTTTTGGGTTATCCAATGCGCCCAGTACATTCATGAGATTTATGCATCAGGTCTTGCGGCCTTTTATGGGGAAATTTGTTGTAGTTTACTTCGATGATATCCTCGTTTATAGTCCGACATGGACTTCACACTTCGATCACCTCCGTGCTGTTTTTGAGATGCTGAAAACGGAGTGCTTGTTTGTCAATCAAAAGAAGTGTTCTTTCTTCACTACTTCTGTGACTTTTCTTGGTTTTGTTGTGTCTACTGATGGTGTTCATGCAGATCAGTCAAAGATAGATGCAGTCTTGGAGTGGCCCAGACCAAGAACCTTACATGACATCCGAAGTTTCCATGGCTTGGCGTCTTTTTACCGTCGATTCATTAGAAATTTCAGTACTCTGATCACCCCTATCACAGAGTGCCTCAAGGGGCGTGATTTCCAGTGGTCTGAGGAGGCAGAGGCCAGTTTTCAACTGGTCAAGCAGAAGATGACCGAGGCTCCAGTTTTGGCACTTCCAGATTTTGACAAAGTGTTCGAGGTAAATTGTGATGCATCTGGCGTTGGCATTGGTGGTGTTCTGAGTCAGGCAGGTCGTCCGGTTGCTTTTTTCAGTGAGAAGCTATCGGGATCAAAGAAAAATTATTCCACTTATGATCTGGAGTTCTATGCCATAGTTCAGTCCCTGAAGCATTGGCGTCACTACCTAGTACAGAAGGAGTTTATTCTGTTTACCGATCATGAGGCCTTGAAGTACATCAATGGCCAACACAAACTGAGTAGACGTCATGCCAAGTGGGTAGCATACTTGCAAGAATTCACTTTTACGCTGAGGCACCAAGCAGGGAGTTTGAACCGCGTCGCAGATGCCCTGAGCCGTCGTACCTTACTTCTCACCACCATGAGTACTAAAGTTGCAGGATTTGAGACGTTCACAGATATGTATGCAGCTGATCCTTCCTTTGGAAGGATATTTCAGGAGGTAAC